CACAGTTTTGTTCTGAAAAAAATGACACTACAGTGTCAACCCCAGAGAATTTTAGTAGTCTGCTATAACATTTAACCCAACAGGGATTAATTTGGGGACTAAGTAGTCAGCTGACCATACCAGCAATTTGATAGCTGTAGTAAATTAGATTGTTTTAATAAATATAGTAATGCACAAACCATAAAATTCAACCTTTAGAAAAAAAAAAAAAGTCTAGCTTAAAGAATAGTCCCATGCAGTACCAAAAGGAGGAAAAAAGAAAAACTCCTTCATCCAGCAAGCAGCAATGAGACCCCTGCATTCATCCTGAGCCCATGGTACTGTATCATTTTGTTCTTCATTTCTCAAAGCACACTGTCCTTATGCAGATCTTGCTGAGAGACTTAAGGAGATGCGCTAGATGTAAGAGTAGTTAATGAAACTAATTATCTAAGAGTGAGGCCATTTGCAGCTACTTCTTCCTGCAGTCTGCCTTACAGTTTCCTGCATTTCCCTGAAACACTGACATTGCTCCCTAAAGGAAGGGAAGCTCCAAAAACCAATGCAAACAAAAAGACTCCATGTTCTAAACCTGATTGCTTTTAGAATCTGGAATTATGTTATGCATTGATGACAGTTCCTCAGTCTTACAACTGTAGATGACTGTGAATTAAGAATAAAACTCCCATTAAACACTGGATTGATCCCATCAAGATCTGCACCATTTGTTGCAAGCTTTGTGGGTATCAAAATAAAATCAAAGGTCTGTATCATAAAGTAGAAATTCTTATTAATAAATACAAGTATTGATCAGCTTTCATCCTACAGCTAACCTATATACCGAATAAACTTTTTGACTCAACTACCAAAACAAATCTGGACCTGTTACACCTTCAGAGAGAAGTGATTATTCTCTGCTATGGGGATAGTTTTCACTCTGTTAGCAGAGGCTAACAGATATTTAACATGTCTTTCAAACTGACTTGGATTAAAAGATTCCATAAGCTTTCTCACCAGGGAAAATAACCTCAATAATCTCAATATTTTGTTCATTAAATTATTTTCCTTTCTTTTTTTTCCTACAATAGCATGGTAAACATTTAAATGAGTTACTCTGAAACATCACAGCACTGCTCATCTCGGTGAACTGTGACACGCCTTCTAAAGTCAAGACACCAAAAGATAGAAATGTTACCTTTTCATAGAGTTCACATTCTTGAACACTTTTTTTTCCCCGCACTAACATCCATCTGCAGCTAATTAGAAGTGATGGTATCAGCTGGAGAACATACCTATGTCATGGGGTGAAAGGCGGAAAATGATCCATAAACAATCTCAAAACCTACACCCAAAATTTCCTGGAATGCAGTAAAGACATTATACTCTCCAATGGATTAAGGTTTTTTTGGTTTTTTTTTTTTGTTTTTTTTTTTTTTAAATGTCTTGTTTTCTGGATAAGGATCCAGAAGACTGTATCAGGTTTCAAAAGTTATTTAAAACACATCTTTAAAAATAGAATTCTATTACTCTTATTTGTAGATATGGCTGAAAAATTATGGTTCTTTTAACAGGGGAAATAATTGAATAAAGTACTAGAATGGATTAGAGAGCTATTCGTGGACATTCTTTAATAATATGCTCATAAATATTATATTGACAGACTCAGTGGAAAACTTATTTTTCTTATAGCTGTAAGAAATGTAAATGCAAAGTCCTCTTCTTAGTAACACCAGCAAAAATCAGTCACTACTCCATCAAAGTCAATGGAATACAGAGGTATGCATGAAGTGGTACCAGAATCTGCGTAATAGTCTTTAAGTGATCATTACAAATAAATACATGGCTGTTAAGGTATGATGCTATGAGCAGTTAAAATTGATATCGTTTCGGTTGGCCAGAAAAGAAAACAACAGAGCAACTTAGAAATACTTCACATATGGCAAAATTTTATTTTCTTAGTTTTGATTGTGAATGGAACAAGATTTTTAAACACATGCTTAAAATTAAGCAGAACTGATAAAGTCAATGCCAAATGCCAAGATTTCACTCAACAGATCTATTTGCATAATTATGGGCATGATTATGGGACCTCTATGAATAATTAACTGAATGTGGCTCAAAGGAAAGAAGTAAGCGGAGTACTGCAGCATCCCTAGGGCTGCTTACTTTTCACACATTTAGATTCAAAACATTCCAGTGGGTTCGTAACATGAAATGATCATTTGTTTCCTTAAAATAGATACCTAGCACTAAAACCATACAGTAAAATGCAGATCTTACCAGGTAAAGAGAAAAACCTCAGCATTTAAATGCCTCATAATAACTTTTAGATACACACACACTTCCTTCCTTAAGTTGCCTTTTCCAAAGACAAGGAAGGAATAAGGTTTCTGGGCAGCAGCAACTGCTGTACCAGGAGGGGCAGCAGGACTGCACTGCACTGAGCTGATGGTTCCTGTCCTGTCCTGTGAAAACAAACAGTTCCTCTGCGCACACCCCAAAGTGGGATACCTCGCTGTTGATGGATAACATGTGAAGAGCTCATGTGATTAATCAGTGCCAAGGCCAGCTTCATAAACAGGAAATTGTCCTCTCTATACGTTAAAAGAAATGACACTTTGATATGAAACTGGTTCAATTGTACCTTAATGGCATGCTTACAACTTGGTTCTTTCTAATGTATCTATAGTGTGATACCATTGGACCGGGAGACACCTTGCCATATAATTGTGCATTAAAATTAAACAGTGCTATGTGTTCTGGGATGTGAACATGAATACAGAGTTCTTCATGTCCATAATACTCAAACAGAACTGGCTAAACCTGTAAAGCAACTATATTAAAGATAATCCATCTTTCAATGACTCTCAGATATTTTCATTTATATGCCTAGGAAGCAGAAAATGTTGTTGAAACAGAAATTAATGTGAATTAAATGTGTGTAATGTAAATTAAATGTGTGTATACATAAGCTTGAAGTACGTATGTAAGATGCCATTTCCGCTGTCTTTCTTCTGCTCTTCTCCCTTCACTCGTATAATGCAAGACATAAATGCCTTTTAAACAAAGTTATCACAGTGTGAGCGAATGTGGCCAGGTACCTCCCATTACTCCTGCTGTTTGACATGTAACTGTACAGCGCCGAAGCCCAGATAAGGATTTGCTGGTCAAAGACCTTCTAATTTTGAGGTGTTTTTGTACTGACTGTATAGATTGCCAGCTGCTCCGATTCACCTGATTCAGTAGTGTAGGTATTCTCCAACATCAGCAACCACTAAACACATCCATACTAATTAAAATAAATGAGAGCCTCAAGGTAGCTAAAATTACCAAATGCATACTGACTCCCTGTGCCGTCACAGTTACACACAACACCAAGGACAAAGGCTGTTAGCTAAGGATGCATCCCTATTTTTAGGAGCCCAGTTCTGGGAACACCGAACCGTCACGGTCTCCTCCTCTCCTGTCTGCAGCAGCGCAGACCACAGTCCCACTCCCTGCCATCACCACCCAGCCACGGTGCTACAACACCTCTAAGGCCACCACAGCATTTAAACAAAAGAAGTGTTATTGGAAGAGTATTCTTAGCTACCATTAAATCTGCTTAGCAAGTGGAAACCAGTGAGAGAGCCAACTCCATCTGATCAGCCAGCTCTTCTCGGACCACAAGCAGGTGTCCTGGGAACCACCAGTGGCCCACAGACCACAGTTTGGGAATCACTATCCTAAGTAACTCACAACCCTCTTATTACAGCACACCACGCTCCTTGTCTTGCTGAGGCTACTATTTTAGGTTTTTTCCTGCCAGCCCAGCATATCATGGATGATAGACACGGCTCATATCTGCTCATCATGTCCATGCTTACGTGTGTCATTCGGTGGACAACTATCTAGCAATCAATGAGATTATTAACTTGCTGAGGCATAAATTCAGTTTTACCCAAATGATTTTCAGTCATTTTTCCTGTAGATGTATACCATTGTAGCTAGAGGCAGAATCTCACTTATAGTCACTTCTGCAGTTTCATTAGAAGTCGGAGGGATGGAAAAGCAAAAAGGATGAATTTTAACAGCTAAGAAGCAATGTATCAAATAAATTAAAGGTGCACATGGCTTCCAAATTTTCCTTTAAAAGTAGAATTATTTTTTTAAAATACAAATCTTCATTTCACTTCGAAACTTCATACTGATGGCACATTAACATTTTGGGGTCACACAATCAGTGTCTTCACAGATAATTTATTAACCCTCCACCACTTCTGTGCTTTTCCCCATATTGCTTCTAAAGGATATAATTCAGTTTCAAAGTGGTCTGAAGTCTGTACTCTCCCTGCATAAAGAAAAAGAAATTGAAACACTCTTTTGATGGACTATAAATCAATCCTTACCTTCCTCTTTTTATCACGGAAAATGAACTAAGGATAGTTTAAGAGAGTGTAAGGACACACTCTTATCTTCTACAGTCCATGGAACATTAAAGATCAAACTAGAATTTTATCTGGTAATTGGCTATTAAGAATATCACTCAAACTTCCCTGTCATTCAGAAGATACCTAATACTGATTCAGAAATGAAACAACAGAAAATCCAGTAGACAATCTGTTCCAAAGGATAAACAAGCCTTGCTTCCTGGAAATTCACTAATTTAGTACAACTATTTGTAAATTGTTGTACTCTCCTCAAGTACTCAATCTCTAAATTGGACATTTCATTAGAAAATGTACTTTTCTAATCTACTCTTCTCAACATAAACACATTCTAGATCTTCTTCTCTATAACTTGTCTTTAAAGACTGCAATCAACAAACTCTCTTATTCTCTTAAGAGCATTTATTTGACTGGCAAATCAAATTTACCTAAAAATATTCTTTTCCTCAGTAACTTCGCTTCTCACACAACTGTTTTGCAGAAATATAATGGAGACATTTAACAACCATGTCATGCTGTTTTTAATAGGCACAAGTTCTGCTAATGAAACTGGAGGAGTACAAATAGTTGTATGTACAAGTTATAGTATTGTACCTTCTATCATTTCCATACCACTAGGAGGCTTACAATGTCCAGCATGGCTCACAACCCAAACGGGGTACTGCTGATTTAGTCCACAATACAAGGCCTGTATAAAGGTCCTGTAATAACCTGCCAGTCCAGGGTTACCTGCCAAAAAACAAAATATACAAGCACAGTCAATATTAACCTTCCGACTGCAAGCAAACTGCTTCAAAGCAAACAAAACAGGATTATACAGCAATCTGGTAATTTATTTTCTCCAGTACATTTCCAGTTTTTATTTTCCCAATTTCAGGAGCTATGCTATTGAACTGGTTTAATTCCATTGATCAGTGGCACCCATGAGAAGCATTTTACAGAATTACTTTGAAATTGCAGAACCTAAAGCTGAAGCCCAACACAAGAGAAAAACTCCTTTTCATCGGGGCCAACCAGCTTGCTTATCTAATCCATCAAGTTACAGATACATGAAAACTGGGCAAGGAAATCCCCAAATACTATGAAAATATCATAAAGACTACAGCATGTATCACTTGATCTGGATGTCTGCCCTCCAGAATATCTCAGTGTTACCACTTCAAAATAGGTCTGTGGTATCCTGACAATAGGAAGGTCTGTACTGAGGATGATTTTATTTTAAACTCATTGGACTCCATCAAATTTTTCTGCTTGTAACTTCATATTCTCTCTGTCCTCTTCTGTGCCTCTTGAGAGGCTTTTTCCTTTCAACCCTCATGCTCTAGAACCATGGGAGAATTTGTCCTCCCTCCTGCATGCCATCAGCTTTAGAGAGTTTCTCAGTAGAGGCTGCTACCTGCAGGAATTTGGGTTGCCCTGAGAGAGTTGCACCTTGCTCCAAATCCATTGTTTAACACTGACAATATCAACCATTGCTGAAGTGGAAACTGAAATACTGTCCCAAAGATAAAAATATATATCTGGTAGGGATTTCAGGATTTCCAAACAAAACTCTAACCTCCATTATTCTTTTTTTTATTTGTCTTCTGGATATCAGTAGTGATAGTGTCAAGGGACTTAAGTTGGAGAGTAAATCCATACGAAGGTGAAGCAGATTTTGTTTCCCGATTCCCACCGGATGCATAAAAATCCCACACAGACATAAAACCATATAATTTCTCTCTATTTATTTATTCATTTCCCAGGGTGGTTCCACTGATTTCTTATTATCATTTAGACAGCAGGAAAGCCCACCATCTCGGTTAGGATGGCTCAGTTACATGTCCTGCACGCACATACGAGGCAATTCTCAGTTTGGATATCATCAACAGCAAAAGGCGGCAAGAGCAGTATTGTGTAAAAAGGCTGTTTAAGACAAAGACATCCTAAAATAACACAAATACATTACTGAAAGGGTATGAGAGAAAAAAAAAAAACCCTACTAAAGTTGTGTAAACTCCTTTATAGCAGTCTGATTGCAATAACAGAGGCTGAGCCTTCTAAATATCGACAGTGACAGAGAAGAAGAATCAGAGCTGTAATCAAAGTAGTATTTGTAGAAATGGTGTGTGGAGAAAAAAACTCAGTTTATTGCATTTCTTCCCTTTCTAGAGTGGACATTTTCATTTTGTCATCTTTTATTTCAACCCTTTTGCTCTCCAGGTAACAGACAGTAAGTTCAATGCTCTCCCAAGAGGCACTTCTCTGGTCCAGGGCTTCCAGAAAACAGATGACACCCCACAGAGCATCAGTGCAGTGGCACCTACACCCACCTCCAGCACAGACATGAGCGCAGGAGCTGATGCCACTGGTCACACCAGTGATGACACCCAGGCAGAGTACAGAAGCCTTCCACTCTAGGTATTATATCACACATACTTCATCCCTCTCTTACATGTAAAAAGTGTCTCTGAAGATTTTTAAACCTTAATAAAATTATTGATCTTAAAACAATATTTTTTTTTAGTGGAGTACATGGATTTGGAAAAAAACAAAACCAAAACCCAGAAACCACAGTATCAGTCATTACATGTTTCTAAGTATCTCTTCATAAGCTTGACATTAAAGGAGAATTAAAAAAAAAAGAAGTTGTTGTTGTGTATATAAACTCCAGAATGCATGATCAAATTTTTGCAAACTGATTTCCAGAAAAACAGAGGTCATGGATCCATACAACTGCACCACACTTTCATACATCGAAAATATATAGTATAGAGGGCCCTAGAGACAATAACATCAAATCTAGACATCATCTGTCAAGCTCCCTGGATTGATTTTACATAAAGGAAATCTGTCTTTCAGCAAGGCTGAAGAGGAAAGTAGCAGCAATCCAAAATAAAGTGTGTCTTCTGTAGTACAAATGATTGGATATTTTGGCACTATGCTTAGTTCTGGAATATAATGCAATCAGGCGTTTTGATATCAAGAAATCACAAAACCAATCTCAAAACCAGCCTTTTTTCTTTACATTTTTCTCTCCTTCAATAAAGCAAAACAAGGCAAGGGGAAGAAATGGCAACAGATGCCTTAGACATTCTGGTGCTCTTTCCCCATCATCAGCCAGGTGAACCTAACATGTAAATATTCTCAGGATTCAGCCACCAGCTGAAGAGCAGTGAAGTCAGAACACATGAACAGTGAGGCTTTGCATCAAATACTACACAAAGCTCAAGGCACTCTAAGACTTATTTTGAGGGAAAGGGGATTCTAATCCCGTGATAAATGTGATGTGTATTTTAGGCAGGTAAAAGAGAAATTCCATAAAAGCAAAAGAGCCTCCCTCTCCCCATTCTTCATAAGCATCTGCTCATGGTAAAAGATGTTCTGAGGGGCCACCTGTTAGAACTGCTACTGAAACTTTAAAATGCCTTGCAGGGGTATGAATGAGAACTGTTGGCACAAATGGAAAGGAGTATCAACAAAGATCTTTAACAACAAAGATTTCCATAGAGAAATCAACATATGTAAAGAAGCTATAGATTTATTCTTTACTGAACTTTCAATTTCAATGGAGTTATTCCAGATTTGCACCTAAGGAAATGCAGATTAACAGTCCCTGCTCTTGAAAGCTTGTACCTACAATACTTATATGTGGAGAATGCTTATCTCGTAATATAGCTTAAACTCCCATCTCTGCAAAGTTCGTCATTTTACATGTTTTTACTTTACCTGCTATCTTTCAAAATACTTTAAGGGGAGAAAACGAAAAACCTGAACAGATAAAAGGTTGTTTTCACACAGTAACAGCTAATGGAAGTAACCAGGGCTGTCTATGATAGACAGTATTTTGTGCTCATCTGCTGTGGTTGAAATGTTGTTCAATTAAACTACCTTATTTTACAGATAAAGAACTACCAGGTTGATCACAAAGGCACTCAGGCAAGTGCTCATTTGTGCATTTTAAGGATTTCCCAGTACATCAAACCAAAACTGCCTATGTTCTTACACTCAGCAACCAAGTGCCAAAAAATGGAAACCATAAGTAAATCCAGTGTTAACCTCCACGGTTTGAAGGTTACTCCAGTTATTTGAATAGCACATCAATCCTCAGACACCTCAGGGCACCTGAATCATTCACGCATGCCAGCAAATCTCAGGCTGCAGTCATCTGAACCAAGAAGCACATCTTAAGCAGTTACTCTCAACTGTGCTTAATTTTCAACAGTGTTTATGTTGTTTCAGAAGTCTTTTAAATAGCTGTAAATGGTGACCATAACAGAAAAAGGCACAAAACTACAATATACTGCATACTAATTTGCAAAAGATTTCTAAGCATTTCATGGGAAGAGTATGTCAAATGGACAATTTGCACGACAGAATTATAACACAGTGGGTCCACTTTATTTGGTGTACTCATAAGTTCTAATAAGCAAAGGACTCCTGCCACCTTCTCTGTTCTTCATAATACACGTAATACATGACACTTCATCCAGCTATTCCATGTTAAGCTCAAAGTCTTTCAATTTCTAACTTGAAGATGGGAATTCACTTCTTTTCCGATCTGTTCCACCCATAGCTAAAGCAAAATGGTACAGAACAACCAAATGTGCAGAGGTGTAACTGTGAGCTCTGTTAGGAGGTAAATAGTCTCCACTTCTATATACTGCAGATACAGGCTTTCAAGACCTGAAACTACTACTCTTTAATCATCCACATAGGTAAAACCACGAAAATTACTTATAAATGTGTATTTGCCTTCCTTTAACTTTCAAACACTTTATTGTTAATGTTTTTTCCATCAAATCAACATTTTAAATACCAAACACTTCCTTCTTAAGAAGTCAGCTAGCACTGGAGAGACAACAATTTGTACAAACTAGCTACTGGCCCCAGGTTATATCACTGCTATAGAGTAACTTTTATCCTGATTTCCCATGATTTCCTATACGTGTCATGAAGTCAAACTTGGCCTGTCTTAAAGTGAAATACATGCTAATATTTGAGATGCTGCACTTGCAAAAAATAATTTATTCAGAATCGGGAAGTTTAAACTTGCATACAGTATGCCACCAGTGCAAAACAACAAACATACAATGTTTATTTAAATAGTCACAGACCACAGCTACTGCCCACAAGCAGTGACAGCTTTTCTGGCTTACAAATTGCCAAGCACTTTGAATTCTTCTGCAACAGAAAATATTAATGTAAAAGGTAAATGATAATTAAGAGAACATTAGCATGAGATAACTCTGTGCAAAAATACTTTGCAGACCTACCGAGGAATGTACAAAGTAAACCACAACAGCAAAATGTTTCAGGTTAGAAACAAAGACACACACCAAAACATAGAGGAAAAGCCTTCTATCCAGAAAGCAGTAGGCTGAAAATATATACAGCTTACTCAAATGAAATGGAGACTAAAAGACAAAATGAAAATAATTTTGAGCAGTTCTGAAAGGGATATCTAAATTGAAAAGGATTTATTTAAGCAGCCTATAGTAAATGCCAAGAGTGGTGGGGAGTAAAGAAGAAATTTACGTGTAGTTAAATCATCCCAAACAGCGAGGAGGTGTCTTGTACCTTGTTTTGAAACAAGCTTTTTGGTTCTGTGCACTGTCCTGTGAGATCTTCCCCAGTGCTTTCTGTTGTGTCTCCAGAAGCCTGACCATCTGCAGGAGCAGTAGCTGGCATTCAGCTGTGGTCCTTCATGCACTTCTCTAGCAGTTGTCTTCTGTCTGCTCTGGAACCTC